CTGTCCTTCCCCACAAGCCCAAAGAGACCTTCAGACACCGCACTGATGTTTCAGACCCAGCAGGAGGTCCCACAGCAGACCTGAGGCTCTGCTTCCACGCCCCATCAGAGTGGCCACAGAGCCCTATGTCCCTGCTCCTCATCCCAGCATCCACAGGAGGGAAATTGCGGGAGGAAATTGGTGTTGTTCCACGAGCATCTGACATGGCTTTGGTCCTCAGCGATCTAAATGGACCATTACCCCTCTGTGTGCTCTCTCTCTAGGAGATTGGGGTTTGTCGGTACTCTTTTCAAAACAATCAGGACTATCTTAGGACATGTAAAATATCTTCTAGATTGAAGCTATTTCCGTCATCAGTATGACAGTATCTAATGTATGTGTTGTTCACTTATCACTAGAACAAGAGTTCTACTGTCTCACTGTTGAATAGGTCATTGTAGTCCCTATGTAGTTCTTAAATGTAGTATAACACTAACTTTTATACTTTATCTCTGTTACAAAGTAATGGTTATTTTAACAAGGATCATATACAGGATTATATGTACACTACTTTATACAATACACAAGAAGAAATAGGAATAAATAAGATATAAAGCCATACGGGCATAATATAAATATCTACAGATATGAGCATCCATTGAGATGCTGAGAAATGGGCTGTGATTTAAAGCGTAGGACATTTGAATTATTGCACAGTTTGATCATTAAAGCAGCCATATCCCAAACAGATCTGCTCCATGTTGTCATCAGTTTTTGCAGTGCCACTCAAACGCTGGACACTTGCAGAGAAGGAGAGAGAGAGAAATCAGCTCACATTTAGTTGTTTACAGTTTCTGTGTTTCTACATCTACCTTCAAGTCCTCACATATTTAAAGGACATGATCCGATGTCACTTCTTACATCAACTCTTATGACATACTGCAAGGATAGCATCGGTCACAGATTGTATTCTCAAAACACAAAAAACTTTTATGCATTATTTCTCTTTTTTCCTTTAATTCAACGTGTTCATTATTTTATTTATTTTGAGTAGAAACCAACAGTGACACTTAAGTGCCAGGAGCTTTTGTTTTGCCTATTTTTTATAGATTTCTTGCAGTGAGTACAGGGCTGAGATCAGTATTCAGGCAGACAGTTGTTGACGCCGTGCCAGCGTTTGCGTAGCCGGGCGAGTTCCTCCTCTGTTCCTCTGTCTATCTCTGAGGCAGAATTCATGACAGTCTGTCCTCCGAGTGTGACAAGTGGAACTGTGTGATTAATTTGGCCAGTCGTTTTAATGTGCTCCGGGATGCGCGCCGCTTATTGTCTTCCCCTTGCACGTCTATCGGAATCTGCCAGAGAAAATGTCCAGGAGAATCGAGACATCCATCCTGCTCTGCCTCTCGCTGTTTTTCTCTCCCCCACTCGCTCTCTCTCTCGCTCTCCCGCTTTCCTCAGCTCGGCCTCATTTCAGGGCTGAGCTGCAGGGTCGTCATGGGGGCCAGCCCAGGTCGAGGCCTGGCTGCATCCAGGGCCACTGGCGGAATAAATCTCCTGTCTCTGAAGTGTTGAAAGCTGTGTAAATGTCAAACGCATCCGTCTGATGTGCTGGCTGAGCGGAGGGAGGGTTGTGGAGGAGGTGGGATGCAGGGAGGGAGGATTGTGGATGAGCCATCCGCTGAAGCTAGTCCCCCGTTACTCTTCATAGCTGGCGGTTGCCAGGTGCAGATGTTTCTGCTTGCTCCCTGCCTCTGAAGAGCCAGCCAGCATTTTTTCCTTTTTTCTGTCTCTTTTTTTTTTTCTTTTTGTTTGGTTTGTGAACATCTATGAGAGACACAAACCTCTGGGGGCTTGGCTCCTGTCAGGCAGCTTAGTGAGCTGCATATCTCTCGGATTTTAACAAAGTCCCCCCTGACCACCAGACATGCTGTTAAGGGAGCTTTCTGTTTGTGGTTGTGCATTTGCATTTCACCATTTGGGTTTCTGTTGTAGCCCTGTTGAAAATCTTTTACCCAGTGTAGGTTTTCAAAGAAGCATAGGGGGCTTAATGACGTGGTTGTCTTCTTACACCCACACAGTCACAAACATGAGCCATTCTCTCACTTTTATAGCTTCATTGTCTACTTAGATTTGACCCAACCAAGTGTAGTAGCCTGGCAGGGCAATCACATACAGTACTGACAAAAACTGCTCTAACACTTCTTCCATGCATCCCTCCCTCCATCCCTATATAGCCCCCCCCCCCCGCCTGTTCTTACTGTTGTTTTGTTCCCCCTCTCCACCTGCCTCTCTCCCCCCTGCTGTGCTGTGTCTCTCTCTGTCTCTGTCTGAGCCACAGTATTCCTCTTTACGCTCTGCTGCAGAGCATGCTTCTTGTAAAAGGATAAGCACCATGCTGTGCTCTTTTGATATTATTTTTCCTCCTCGCCAGCTCCTGCCTTGCGAGGCCTCATCTCTAGTGTCATGGCTACCGCTGCAACAACAAGGCCGAGCGTGCACGCAGGGAATAGACCGAGCCAGTTGTTCATCTCCGTCACCCAGGGTTTAAACTCATCCTCAAGTAATAGAGAGGAACTCACCACCGCTGTGAGATAGAAACTATCTGCTCAGCTGCATGCTAAGAATACATTTACACCCGTTTCCAGTGGGTAGAGCCAAGTTTGAGATTGGATCAATTTAGCGTATTTTTGTAACACACAGATAGAAATGTAGAGAAACACTGTTTTCAATGTGATTCCTTTCAAATAAAATGCAAGAGCCGAGTGAACAAATAGATGGAGATTACAGGTTGAGATGTTCCCCCTAACAGAAAAAGGCTGGCAATAAATTTGCCCCAAATCCTCAGTGTGAATGGAGAATTGATTGACAAGAAGCCTAAGCTACTTTCCCAGCTTAATGCCCTGCACTCTGTAATGACTGTCTTTGACAAGAAAAGCACTGAAATTAGAGTTAGCAAACCTTCCCTGGCAGAAAGTGACAGATTTTGCATCAAACTGTGTGCACTTTATTTGTTCCATTCTATTCGGAGTATATCTAAGTATGCACTTGTAGGTTGAGACTACATTTTAATTTTACAAGTGTTGGTCAAGGACTGGTATGTGCTGTTTTCCTTCATTTTAAAGCAATTGATTAAAACAGTTGGAGCAAAGCAAACCCCGAGATACTTTTGTGGCACTTTCTGTATCGTCTCAGTCATTTTCCACTGTATTGTGAGGCGGCTTTTCTATGCTTTCACACTTAAATTCCTGATCCTTACTGATAGGCTCTGAAATAATGAACAGCAATCACTTCAGCTGGTACAAAGCCATCTTTTAAATATATATATATTTTTTAACAGCACTAGTGCTCCATCAGGTGTATGCTTTTGTTCTAGGTCTTCTGCTCCGGTATGAACAATAAGTGCTCAGGCATTTCTTTTAGTTATTGTTCTGCAGATAGAGATGCAAACACAACAATAAAACCTCCTAAGGGGGTGCTGATGTTTTTCACTTAAAGCTCCTGCCAGCAAGGACTCCTGCTGTATCTCTTGTCTTTGCATAGCTGAATGAATCACTGAGCATAGAAGCCCTGCACACATACACGCACTCGCACACACACACACACACACACACACACACACACACACACACACACACACCCCTCTCCTGAGAGATCTTGGCCACTGAGCCCTTGCACTGATTACTCTCGTTACTTAATTATACATTTGGACCCACCGCACTCAGAACAAAGGGCCGCTGTGGCTCCATTGACCCAGCTCCCTGCTCATTGTGTCCGGCTCTGAAAGGGAGTCAAACAAAATAAAGAAGCTCCACTTAAATATGTTGCCACAGGAACTTAATTGACAGATTGATGGCAGTTTTTCACTGGGGGCCCTCTCTCCCTCTCTAACTGGCTCTCTGCTTGAATTGCTCTGCTCTTCAAGCTTCCTGCTGTGAGGTCCAGTGGGACTGAACTGCAGCTCGACCACTCCTCTTTCCAAAACTTCTCCATCTATTGTCCTCTGGAGGGGGGGGGATGGGGAGGCATTTATAAACAAATGAATGTGAGAAACGGAAGCAAGGAGTCGTGGGTTCGACATGGGTTAAGGAAAGTGTTTAACACGGCAACCGAATGCATCACATTTTGACTGACAGGATCAGATGTGTCATTTATGTACTGAACATACTGCAAGCCAAGGTATTGACTTCACTTTGACATCACACATTATTTACGACTTGAGATGAATCAAATATCAAGTTCTATTCTCATTTTTAATTAAACTTATTGCTTAGAAAAAAGTTTGTTGCCTTAGAATGTGTCAGGACTGAAAAGCTGTGGCCTTCTGCATGTCACATACAAGGTCTGGCTTCATTCTTCTCATGACATTTTAGCCCAATCTGCTTTTATTGAAATTGTAAAATAATGTAAAAAAAAATTGAAGTATTAAGGAAAAACACTTCTTAAGTGAACAGACTTGTGATTTCACCTTTGGCCGAGCAACACAAGGCATTTCTCAAAATACGACCTTTTGTCATTCAGTTCCTTTCTCCCTGCTGAAGTCTGACATACAAATTAAAGACTGGTTTGTCACAAGGTGGATTTGAAATACCACACTTAATAGGTACTGTGTTTGAGTATTCAGCTTCCTCTGTCCTTGAGATACTATCGTCCAATTTTAAAGCAGAGAAATCTTAAAAGGCTAAATGACCAGCTGCAGCTGAATGCAAAGTCATTGAACAGCCTCTTTATGAGAGAACGCAGTGTGTGGTGTAATTCATTTGCTATCTTTTATCAATTTAAAGCATAAAAATTTGAAACAGAAACACCATAATGGCATTCTGTGCTGCTTTTGAAACATGAAAAACTCTCTGAGACTACCACAAATCCCCCCCCTCTCCCCATCCTCTGCCGTTTGCTCTGAAAGCTGTCACTGAATGAGAAGTTTTACACAAAAATAACATCTGCACTGATTATGGGCTACTGTGGAGGGGGCAAATGAATAATTCCTTATATTTCCTGTGTCTGTCTCTTTTCTGTTACAGTGTGACAGCGAGAGTGACATTGACGACAAGGTAAGACTGCATTTCCTGTGTTTATTCACCCACCACATGAAGTGGATGGGAGTTGTGAATAACAAATTTGAGCTCTCGAGAAGAGGAGAGGAACAGTTGCAGAAAGACGAGGTGTAAAAGACAATCTGCCCGTTCCACCACTGTTGATCATTTGCATCTTCCAGAAAAGTGACAAGGAAACTGCAAAAGAATCAGTTTTTGGTGTTAGTCTTGTTTTGTATGAAGTGACAAAATAAGGCATCGGTAGTCTTTGGAGCACTCGATGCCTGAATATGTCTTGAAGATGTCTTCTAGTTTAGATCACAGCTTATGCTGAAACAATGCACTTTAGGAAATGTGTATTTGATTGTATTGCGAATATACTACAAAGCAAAATCATAACTATACTTCTTGTGTCTTATGTATAAGAAAATGTTTCTACTTTTAGAGTTTTGCAAAGATGAATGTGTTCCAGTCAAAGAAATACCTTCGTCCTTTCTGTAAAAACGGAGGTGAAGTGTGAAAACAGAGTGAGTTTCTCAAAAAAATGTCTTTAAGAAAATCACTCTGTGTGAAATTGATCAGAGATGGCTACCTGGAAATATGGCAACTTACTTCCATTTTTGTTTGCTTAAAGTAATGGATAATACCCTCAAGAAACAATTTCCAACACATCTTTAAGGTGCAGCGATCTCAGACTTACACACCAGCGACAAGTTTCATGGCATGCACACATCGACTCAGACATGAACATGACTGCCACATAGATGTAAGGAAACATGTCCGCAGTGCAGACGTGAGGTGGCTATATGAAGATGTGAAAAAACACTGACCTGCTGGAGGAAGAACAAAGAGGGAAGCTTAGGACTTGTTGAAGAGGCTATGGAGTTCCCTGAGAACTACACACCACAGGGATTTTTTTCTGTCTGCATTCCTACTGCCATGGTTATAGTGATTTAGAGAGCGTTTACCAACTGTAATTCAGTGTAATTTGACAATGTTTACAGTGAGATTTAAAAATGGCGGTTTTTGTGTCCTGGATTGGCTCTTAATGTTCGGCCAATCAGTTTACGCTGACGTATGGGTCAATCACCGTGCACATCACTCAAGGTCCCTCTTGTTCTGGGAGAATAGCTACTGTGAAGCAGGAGATAAAAAAGCTTCCTCTGAACGAGGTTCTAGGAACTAAAATAGTTCATAGTTTCTGCAGAATCAGTAAAGAAGGAAGGGAGGCTTCCAACAGTTCCTGGAACTCTGAAGAGTTTTTGTTTCGTTTCACATCTGCACTGTCCATACGTATGTGTTTGTTATTGCTGTCAATTATAATTTCTCAAAGAAAGATAATCGTAATCGGCAGGTCCGACCTTGAAACTTTCGGAAATCGGAATTAGCCAAAGAAATTGCAACCGGTGTATCGTTACCTCAACTATCCATGGCTTGATGTGACTTCTTTTTCTTTAAAATCCCCAATTATAAAATCATGGAAACCAAAATTGGATCAAGCATTTGTGTTGCTATTTTGGCGGTGATGTCATTTGACACTTTGACAGATGTTGTCTATCAGTTTCACTTCTGTGTATTTGTTTATCCCCGACTCTGAGGTGGTTGTCTGATGGCAGCCACCTGGTTACAAGATGAAACGCCTTTGGGGAACCTCGTGCATTCTAATTCCTCCACAGTTTAGCAATTACTCCCTGGTAAATGAATGAGATAGCATGCCTAATCTCCTGTAAGCTTAGCTCCCAGTTCTGTGGAAATGTCTGCAGCTCTCCCCATAAATAATACATTGATAGCAGGCACAATTTGCATTAACTGTAGCCTGGCAAGTCAATAGGCTTTTATCTCTTCATTGAAGCGAGAAGGAACCGAGGGCACTAGCTAGTTGACACGACAGAGAGACGTAGCAGGCCTGTCAGTCTCCATACGGCTGTCTGGCATCACTGTGGGGGGTAGAGAGGGAAGGAAACTCTCAATGTTTCTTTTCAGGGTTTTGTTTTTCCTTGCTGCTCTATCACTTACTTGAGACTTCTAACAGTTCTGTACAGTGTCACAAATTCTGACATTTAATATATAAAAGTTTGATACCATGGTTCCAAACAACACGGCTATAAGAAAGAGAAGAGAGGAGAAACAAACAATGCTTCGGCAGTTTTGTGGGAATTCAGCGGTGTTGCCATGTTGTTGGTGAGGTGTCAGCCTCTGTCTTTTCAGTTGAAAGATCCATATTTGGCATTTGGCACCACTTATGTGAGCAGTTTTAGCTCTTTTCAGTTCAAGAAATGGTGCACCGTTAGACAGTGCTGCCAAGTTTTCGGTGGTCTGATTGCTGAATTTTGTACCAATTATCACACAGTCCACTGTCAAGAGCAAGACTGCTGCTTCGCCTTCTCAGGTTTTGTTCTAACTTGACATATTGTTCAAAAGAACGACAACTTGCCTTGTTACTCTGTATTCACACTGGAGAAATTCATGTTAGAAAAATATTAGTGTCTAAACACGATGCTTACAGAATTTTTTTTTTTATCCTATAGCCAGTTACAAAATACTGCCTCAAATGGAAAATCTAATTCTTGCTACATCTGGCAAACAATCATTTATCAAGGCTTGTGTTTGACTTGATTTTCTATCCTGGATCCTTTTTTCAAATTGTGAATGAAGCCCATTATGAACAGTAAATATGAGAACTTATTCTCTGTGGCTTAAGGAGCCAACAAGATGTGTAGATGAACTATACAATACTATTTAAAATCATGATTACCTATTGTAGAATGGAAAATGTTAACGTTGATTTTACAAGGGTGCAATGAGAAAAGAACATCTGGATAAAGGCGGAAACAGTGCTGACCTTTTCTTTTTCTCAGAAACACATTTCATCATAATCAAGTTGATGAGAGTTGTGAAGCAACCATAGCAAATTGCTGAGGAAAGGAGAAGACTGGGGGAAGGGGGGGGAATCTTTGACAGGCCATCACAAAAAGCAGAAAAAAAAACTGATGGTGTAAAAATTGGGTTCCTTGAGGAGAAAGACAAACACTGTCATTTGTAATTGCCCGCACTCGGGATAACTCGACAGCGATAATTTTCTGCAACGTTTTGCTGAAACAGGTGCCAGCTCCTCCCGTATCTTTCCAATGAAAACAAAGACTCCTTTCACATCAGATTACGAGCCACCTGAACACCCACATTGTCAGGATTTCACAGATTAACTTAATTAGAATATTGCTTCCAGGTGTGCCCCCAGGGTGCAATCAGTTCCACTGTATTTGAATAAAACTGACGAGATGCTGCCACAGCAAAGTCACTTCACATTGCTGCACCTTGTGAAGCTGGCTTGTATCGAAGCAATGCCTTGGATAATGCAGTCACGTATTTCCAGAACATGTCAGACTTGAATTCTGTAGAGATTGCCGGGTCACCTCCAGTTCAGCACAGGGCTGCTGTGAATGGGATCTTTATGTTTGATTGGCTGAGCCCTGAAGAAACAAGTAATCAGAGTCTGACTATTGTGTTCTCATCACTGGCATTTCTTCTTGGGATGCCTGTCGTCTGATGTCGGAGATTACATGATGTTTGACAATGACAAGTATACGGTGCTCCTTCTGTAGAAAGACCGGGGCTGACCTTGAATTGCCTCTCTTATGTCTGCTACCCACAAAATAATCCATGGAAAGAATTCCTTAAGCAGGATAATGTGTTCTCTGTCTTTACAGTTAGTCAAGCAACACTTGATGTGTTAGCACATAGCCATGCTTTAATTAGACACAGCTAACCACATGTTTGAAATCACTTGGCAATGCAGGGAGAATGTGTATTTCAGTCTATCTGAGGCCGTGCTATAGAACATTCTTTATTTCTGATCTAAATGCTTTGATCCATTTGATGACTCTGTGCTGATAGATATGTATACCAATGGCTAAGTGTTTGGTTTGCTTTGTGGAAAGATTTGTTGTTTTGTGGGTTGTTGATGAGGTAAAAAAGCTCCTGCAACACTTGTGGTATGAAGATCAACTTTATTAACTGTTTTAGACTGAGACGTTTTGGCTTGTGGCGTTCAACAGGTTCATCTAGAAACACATTGCAAGCATCATTTAAATAGAAATAGTATGACATTTAGTGTAAAGAAAAAATCAAAAAGGTAAAAAAAAATCCACAAATAGAACCAAGCATATGCATCCACAGTCAGCATCTATCAGCCAATAAGGCACCTGCAAAGGTGGGGTTAGATTGGTTAGACCAGTGGTACTCAGCCTTGTTAGACTTAAGAGCCACATTGACCAAAAAATATTTCTGCAAGAGCCACACTCAAAAAAACCTCTTTCTTTCCTAAAATATGTGTGGGCAACACAGTGACATGACTGGCAAAGAATAATTTCTGCTGACAATGTTTCCCTTTTTTTAAATAATTACTTATGTTTATTTTTTTCTCCAAGTAGGACCTAAAAGATCCACAACTAGTCCCGAATGAGCCACATTCAACAACTCAGGTTGAGTATTACTGGGTTAGACCAATGAGCACCAACAGGGAGGTGAGGGGCGTGTCCATCAAAGGCATGAATGACACCATTTGGTCAATAAGTTGGAAACAGCAACCAAGGGGATAGTTTAGAGTTTGCAAAGGGATCTTGTGTTGTTGACAACAAGAGCTTACATAGAACACATTTGATAGGACTTATTACAAAAGTCTGGTAAGAATATAGAGATCCTTTTTCAATAATTAATTGCCTTTTATTCTTGATTTATTCCTTTTTTATTGTCGTTACATACTTACGCACTTACTTATCTGTTAATTATTTCATGATAAGCGATGGTTGGTGTAATAAAACAACTTGCTTGGATTTGACAATCACATAGTCTATTTCATAACACTGGGATGTTATGTTGAAAATCAGTTCCCATCCCTCCCCGTTCCGCCTGTAATCTATCAGAGAACCAAGTCTGTCAACCTTTGACATGTCTGAGATACTCCAAGTCAAGATGGTCGTTTTCTGTCATTGGAGAGGCAACGAAAGAAATAGAGTGGG